AGTCTACGCTACTGTTGGATACGGCTATCACTGAACCAAATCAAGTCTTTCATTGTGATACCTCATAAGAGTTGAGACTTCCCAGGTGAGATCTAGGTGTGAGCAGACACTTTGGAAATTCTTCTCTCACCCCCAATTTTCCAATCCCCAATATAGTCAACTGGTGTGCAGTGAATGAATATGAGCCCTGTTGGCAAATAGGATAGTTTCTTATTTGGGTGTCTTGTTTTCCCTGTTGGTCTGTGAAGTAGGTAGAAACTTTGTCTTACTAATTTTTTGACCTTGTGCTTCCCTAAGGGAGCCCTGGGGGCTCATTACAAGTTGGCCAGTAAGGTCAGAAGTTCAAAACTACCAGCTGTTCCCCAAGAGCAAGATGAGGCTTGCTACTCCCATAAAGAGTTACAATCTTAAAAGCCCACAGGGGCAGTACTACCCTGTCTGACAAGGTCACTGAGAGTTGGAAATGACCTCCTGGCTGTGAGTCTGAGAGTGCCTTCATGGAGCTTAAATGTTTGCTGAACAGAAAAGCACACACACAAAAATGCAATTCTAGCACCGCATGCTCCCCTTATTCTTATTCTTTATTTGTAATAGAATTTCCTTCCTAGAATTAAATTGCAATATGCTGTCTTTTCACCCACTCTCCTGAAAACTTGTTATCCTCCCCAATATCAGATGATTGAAGAAGAAAATTATAAATTTTCTCTCTTGGGCATAATGTTGATATTTTAACTCATGGTGACTTATTTTCTCGTATAAAACAGAGTTGAGAAATCAATCAAGATCCTAGAAACTTAAGATTGCTTCAAGTGGTATCTGATCTGTCATCTTCAGGTGGGTGGGGGAGAGGTGGTGTGCTGGGCCAGTGCATAGACAAAGACCTTTTGTGTTTCCCTACTCCCACAGCTGTGTGACTGGCACCATTTTCCAGAGAGTAGGCTATGGATTCCCTCCCATGACTGGAAGGACTGGGAGGCCAGGGACTGCCTCTGTGTGTTCATTAGTACACTCCTGGGACTTAAAAAGAGCCTTGGTGACTTAGTGGTGAAGGAGACCCTCATTAACGAGAAACTGGGCTCAGTCAGAGAAAGCTGAACGAGGTATCTGCCTCCATAAAGACCCACAACCTTGGAAAGCCTATGAAGGTGTTCAGCTCGGCCCTGTGGGATCACGATGAGTTGTTATAAGCTCTGTAGCATTTGGTTCGGGCTTTGCTGGACTCCTGTTATCTAGTTTTACCCTGCTTCACAGGTGCTGGTGCCAGGTGCTATCTAGCGGGTTTTGACTCCTGGGCTGCTAATCTCAAGGTCAGCAATTGGAAACCACCAGCCAGCCGGTCCTTAGGAGAAAGAGGAGGCTTTCAGCTGTAAAGAATTACAGTCTCAGAAACCCACAGGGACAGTTCTACCTTTTCCTATAGGGTCACTGTGAGCTGGCATCAATTCATAGTTGATGAGTGAGCAGTAAGTTTGGTTTGGTTTGAGCCCATGTGACAGAGCAGAATTGCCCCCATTAGGGTTAGGCTAAATTTTTTATGAGAGCTGACCAGAAAATCTTTTTCCAACTGAGCTACTAGGTGGATTCAAACCTCTCAGTTTTTGGATTAGCAGTTGAGTGCTTAACCGTGGCGCCACCAAGTCTTCTTTTTTGAGTTGTATGTGTTGGGCATTCGATTGATTATGACTCATTGAGATCCTATAGGACAAAGAATTGTCCATATCAGTTCTTAGACTCCCTGGCAGTGCTGTTGGATAATCATTAGATTGCTAACTGCAAGGTCAGCAGATCAAAACCACCAGTCTCTCTTCAGAAGAAAGATGAGGCTTTCTAATCCTGTAAGAATTTAAAGTCTCAGAAACCCAAAGGGGACAGCTCTACTCTGTCATTTAGGGTTGTTAGGAGTTAGAATCGATTGGTGGCCGTGCGTTTTTGGTTTCACTCTTGATGTCTTTGAAGTAGAGTGTTGGGGAAGAAAGTACCATGAACTGCTAAGAGAACCAACACATCAGTCGTGGAAGAAGTACAGTCCGAATGTTCCTCAGGAACAAGGATTGGTGAGACTTGGTCTGATGTACTTTGGGCAGGTGGACCCAGTCCTTGGAGAAGGACACAGAAAATCAGGAAGACCCTCAAAGAGGTGACCTGACACATGGCTATCACCAGGAGCTCAAACATAGGAAGGATTGTGAGGATGGCACAGGACTGAGTCATATTTTGTTGTTGTTATTGTTGTTGTACATGGGATCCCTAACAGCACCTAACAACAAGAAGGATCTCTAGGACCAGACTTTCAGGTCTTTTTTTCCTAGGGAGCCATCGGTGGGTTCAAAATGTTAACTTTTTGATTAGCAGCCCAGTGCTTCACCAATGATTTACAGTAATTATTGTTAGCTGTCGCTGGTCAGTTCTGACTCAAAGCAATCCAATGAACAACACAGAACATTACCCGGTCCTGCACCATCCTCACACTTGTTCTGATGTTGAGCCCACTGGTGCAGTCACTGCATCAGTCCATCTTGTCAAAGGCCCTCCTTTTTCCCACGGCCCCTCCACTTTACCAAGTGTGATGCCCTTCTCCAGGGACTGGTCTCTCCTGATGGCATGTCCAAAATACGTGAGACTAAGTCTCACCATCCTTGCCTCTATGGAGCATCTGGCGCACTTCTTCCAAGTTAGAGTTGTTTGTTCTCTTGGCAGTCCATGGTACTTTCGAGATTCTTGCCACCTTCACAACTCAAATGCATTGGTTCTTCTTCAAGTTTTCTTAGTCAATGTCCGACTTTCACATGCATAGGAGGCAATGGAAAATACCATGCCTTGAGCCAGGCCCCCATTAGTTCTCAAAGTGACATCTTTGCGCTTCAACCCTTTAAAGAGGTCTTGTGCAGCAGAACTATCAATGCAATGTGTTCTTTAACCTGTTGACTGCTGCTTCCAATGATTGTGGATCCCAGCGAGATAAAATTCTTGACAACCTCAGTTTTTTCTCAGTTTATCGTGATGTTACCTATTGGTTCCGTTGTGAGGACGTTTGTTTTGTTTACAGCAGATCTCGATGACTCGTAATGAACTTGGTAACAACAGTGAGAGAGTTTGCTTTGCAGTTCCTCAAACTCACTGCCATCAACTTCCCTCCAACTCACAGGGACCCTCAAGGGAACGCTTTGCAATCCAAAACGTCAAGCTCGATCCTGTAGGTCTGATACCAACTCACAGCAACCCCCTTGTGGGTTTTATTTACAGGAGTAGAGCACCTGCCTTTCTCCCATGCTCTGCAAGACAGCGATAAATGTTTGTTGAACGGATACTCGTATGTAAGTAAATTTAACCCAAATCCAAACCCACTGCCATCGAGTTGGTTCTGTAAATCAGAATAGAAGCAGGTTGCCTAGTCTTTCTCCCTCGATGCAGCTGTTGGGTTTGAAGCAGCAGCCTTGTGGTTAGCAGCCCAGTGTCTAACCCCCAGTGCCACTGGGGCTTCTGAAATAAACTCAAAGGTAGGCAATTATATATGTTGGTCTCTTAATCATTAGTAGTGATAACCTGTAAGTGATTAATTTAGGCAAATGTAGGCCCTGTCATCACGAAACAAGAGATCATTCACCATCAAATGAAGTGAGGAGAATTATAAATGAGAATAGATATAAAGTGAGGAATCTGGGCAATTATAAAGTTTGGATACTTCAGAGGTGTCTGGAGGTATCTACATTATTCTGCTTTTTTTCCTCCCTGATGGACACCTCATTTATTTGCTATTCTGAAATGCTCTAGGAGTGAGTGGGCAGGTATTTTAGAAGGCCTAGGGAAAGCTCATCACCTGGAATCTCTTTTTAAGGTGAAAGTTCAAATCCTGGCTTCCCCTTTATTAGCTCTGCGAGTGCCGCCACTTAGGTTATTAAGAGAATAAACACAGCTAGCTATCTGCTTGAGCTACCTTATAAAGCTGTTGCTGTAAGCATGGAGTTGCTTTCAGTCTGGAAAAGACAACTCTACAGTTACTGTTACATTTTATTCAGGAGCGCCGCCATACGCAGGTGCGTGAAGTACCTTGCGTGCTAGGGGACTCGGCTTAAGAGTATCATTTTACTGTTCTTTTGAGCTTTGGCACGGGCTGCAGCAGTTAAGAGGAACGCAGCGAACGCCCGCCTTGTAACTGTCATGATTCAGAGGCAGAGAAACTGCTTGAAGGTGGGGGTGGGGGGAAGAGAGGCGCCCAGAGGGCTTTGCATAACAATTGGCGCAACTGGGTTTTAAAAACCCAGGTCGCAAGAGCAAACTTCACAAGGCGCCCCTCCCCACTCCAATGCCTTCTCTCCAGAAAAGTCTCCCGGCAGAGCGATGTTGGGTGGAGGCTATGCCGACCAATAGGAATCCACCTCTGTTCGCACCGGTAACAGCGCAGGTGGAGAAACTGAGCATAAAGAATTACCTAAACCCCCCTTTAGCCTTTTACTGCGATGCCAGGCGCCATGCTGGGGCACCCTCGACTAGGAGGAATGGAGAAGATTGTCGGGGCCCATTTACTAATCACTATCCCTCTGATCCGTCCACCCACCTCCCTCCAGAACGGGCCCGAAGGCCGATGGGGCCACCCTTTATTGTGTGCCTGGGGAACACCTGCCAGGTGGCGGACTCCGGTCCTAAAGGACGCGTGGTGGTACCCAGCTTCACCAAGCGCACAGCCGGGCCGGGCACTGCCTGCAGGGGAGGAGCGATGGGGAGATGAAGGGCTCCCGAGTGCAGACCTGGGCGCTAGATGCCAGTGCGCCCCGCCTCCCTGGGGTCGCATCCCCCAGGGATTAGCCCTTCGAAAGAGCCCCGGGCAGCGACGCCAGAAGGGAGCTGGAGCCAGGCGAGGGGGCGGGGCGGGCGGAGGGCGGCGAGGAGGGGCGTGGCCCGCGCGCAGAGGGAGGGCCCTGAGAGGAGGGGCTGCTCCGCGGCGCTCGGACTGGGGGCTCGGCTTTGCCGCGCTCGTTGCACTTGGGCGAAAGCAGGAACGTGGAACAGAGCTCGGATCCCAGCGAGGCCAGCGCGATGAGAGGCGCTCGCGGCGCCTGGGATTTTCTCAGCGTCCTGCTCCTTCTGTGCGGCGTCCAGACAGGTGGGAGAGCGCGGCGGCCGCCCCGGGCCGCGGCCCCCACCCCCCGGCGCAGCTTCTGTCCTCCCCAGGGGTTGAACACGCTGGGGTGTGTCCGGAGAGGTGGCTGCGGTCCCTTCAGGTCCCTGCGGGTTCCGACTGCGGGGAGATTCGAGGCGTCCCTGGGGACTCTCCTGCGCCCTGCTTCGCTCACCTGCTCGAGGAGCCAGCCCCTCGGCCGCTGGGGCTGGGGACAGCGAAGCTGGGAGGTCGCCCAGGAGGCCGGGCAGTCGGGGGCTGAGGGGGTGGCGAGGCCGCAGGCTCAGGGCAGCCCAGCTGCGGGCGAATTTGGGATTTCTTTTGTGCCGAGGGTACGCGGGTGATAGTGGCGGGCGGGTCACCCGGGCATTTGCACCGGGCGCGCTGCCTCCACCGTACGAGGCGCCGCTGCAGCTTCCTTTTGTTAAAAGTTGCGTGTGTGTGACCGCTGCCCCAGGGGGCCGGACGGCAGGTTCTTCGCAAAGTTTGAGAGCCGCCTGCGCCTGCTCTGCGCCTGCTGCTTTCCCACCCTGGGCGCTCTTTGTGCCCAGAGATGGGGACCGACGCTCGGCCGCCTCTGCTCGCGCCGCGAGTGGCGGAGACGCGTCGCAGGCGCGGCGCTTCCCGGCTCCCGGGTTAGGCTTTTTTGCAAAGGAGGCGCGCGCGGCGTGCAGCCGGGCCCCGGAGCCTGGAGGTGGCAGCCCCGGGGCAACTTAGGCTGGGCGTGTGGAAAGCAGTCACTAGGTTGCAGCGTTTTTGGCTTTTGTAAATCCAGTGCCTGGGGCTCGCTCCTTTCTGCCTAATCGGCGCCGAGCTTTCCTGCTACTCACGCCCATACGGCTGGAAGCTGCTCTCGCCTCTTGCTCCAGGGGGAGCCAGGGACAGCGCGTAGGGACCCTGCGGTCCCCGACCCCGGTGAACGCGCGCGGCCGAGTCAGTGTCGGAGCAGGCTGCCTAGAAGCTTCTTGTCTCGGTGCGTGTCTTGCAACCTGCGCTCTCAGCCCCCAGTTTCCTTCGAGAATATTGAGATTCGCAACCAGCTCTTCCACGTGATACTTCTCCTTCCCAGCGGCCTGAGTTCGGGGGCGGCAGGGGGGAGGTGGAATGCAACTTTCGGCAATTTTTCCACGGCTCCTAGAGCGGTTATGGAAATCCAGTTATACCCGCGCGGGAACTTGGGTTTGGAAGTGGAGAAGGATTTGTAGATGCGTGGACACCTTCGGCCAGACTTAGATCCTCGGTGTCGCTGGAACTAACGCGCGTGCGGGGCGGGGGTGGTGGTTTGGGTGGCAGGAGTGTCTCCTGCAAGCTCCTGAAGACCTGCTTTCCCCCAAGTCCTACAAATTTTCAATCCTTAAGGTGACCCTTTTAAGGTGCGCTATGGAAAGACAGCGAGTCTGAACTGGAATCGAAGGGCTGTTGAAAGGAAACATCGCAATGAACTATTGCGGGCTCTGTGGACTACGGGTCGTTCTGTCTCTGCAATCGCAGTCCCCCTCAAAAGGCACTGTGGAGGTTTTCCTGCCCGGCGTGGGAGGCCTACTGTCTGGACCCCAGCGAAGTAGGCGGGATCCTGAGCCCAGTGTCCGGATTCCTTGAGGGTTTGCTTGCCTGACTGGAATTATGACAGTTGTGTGGTGGTCATTATATCCCTGAGCCTTTTTTCCACCCCCCCAAGGGTGTGTCGGGGTGGGGTTCCCCCATGTTGCTCCAGGTAAGATATGTGAACTAGACTCCAGTTGGGTTTCAAGAAAGACCACATTGAATATTTCCCTTAAAAACAAAAAACCCCAAAATGAATCCAGTATTTTCTTCTTCCTCATACTTTGCCTCCTCCATTCAATAGGGGCCAAAAGAATTTTAAAGACTGTCTCCTGGGGAGGCAGCGTGGGGGAGTGACAAAGGCTTGAACCAGCAATCTGGTTGGTTTTCTCTGCCATTCATTGGCACCCTGCCCTTGGACAGGATGCTGAAATTCTGGGCATCCCAGATTCCTCTTCTAGTGCAGCGAGACATCTGAATCCGGAAGATATTTCTTTGGTTCCAAAATTATTCTCCACTTTCCTGGGGGTGGGAAGGGTGGGGATGGGTGGTGATGGCGTTTTGATCTGATACACACCTTTCCTTATAGCGATCCTAGGTAGTGTCTGAAGCTTTGTACATGCTTGAGACTCCTTGACTCCCTCCTTGACCCCTTCCCACCACCACCTGGTGTGACTGAACTTGTCTGCCCCTGGCTAAAGCAGGCCTATGCCTCCCAGCCCAGGCCTCAGTCTCAACATGTTGTCCTAGGGCTTCCCTCAGGGCTGGGAGAGGCACCTCCCTATCCTGTGTCCTCCAAGCCCCCCACCCCATCTGCAGGCAGGATGAACCGAGAAGAAATGGTGAATCATACCTTCCTCTTGTTTGCGCACATGTGAGACAAGTCATTCCCAGCAGCTGGGCATGCTGAGTTGTTAACCTGCTGGAAACAATAGGAAGGTTTTATCAAGAGATCCCTGATAACGTCTTCAACAGTGGTTACAGGTTGGGCTGCTCTCCACTAGGTCCACAGTTGAAAGCCTCGTCTTTTTCCCCAGGAGCGGCTGATAGTTTCCAACTCCTGTAACGAGTCCAGGGGTAGTTCTACTCTCCTATTGGGCCGCCATCAGTCACAATTGACTTGATGGCAGTGAGCTGGGTTTTGATATTCTTTCCTACCCATCCACTCCGTTTTGTTCTTCTTTCTCTTCTGAGTTTATAAACCAGACGAGGAGGCTCAGCAAGGTGATGGAAAAATTCTATTTTCTACAAACTTTTCTAAGCCTATATTCATGTGTGCCTTAAGTTTCCTATGTATAAAACGCACAGCCATCGAGTCGATTCTGACACAGCAATCCTAGGTAGTGTCCCAAGCTTTGCAAATGTTTGTGGGAGTGTGCAGTCTCATCGTGATCTGTGAATCTTTATGGGAACATTCAGTCTCATCTTGATCTGTGAATAAATGTTTTTGGGAGCTTTCAGTCTCATCTTGCTTTCTCGGAGTGCTTGATGGTTCTGAACCATAGACCTTTCCAGTTAGCAGCCCAGTGCTTACCCGCCACCGCCACCAGGGCTCCATTTGTATATATCACCTCGCTGCCATAGAGTGGATGCGGACTCATATCGACCTTATAGGACAAGGTAGAATTGCTCCAGGTGGTTTCAGTGACTGTAACCCTTGACGGGAGGGAGTAGACCGCCTCATCTTTGTGCCCTGGAGGGAGTGCTTTTCACTCCTCCCACCTCTTTACAGTTGGAGAAACTGCCTGTGGATGAGAAACCTGGCCCAAAGGCTCACTGTTCAAGCCTGAGGTCTTCCATTCAGTGAGGGTTGGCCTTCACTCAAAAATATTTATATGAATAGCAACTATATGTTGTAGGGACTAAAAAAAGGAGTGGAGAGACGTCGGACAGGGCAAGATATGACAAAATAATAATTTATAAATTATCGAGGGCTCATGAGGGATGGGTGAGTGGGGAGGGAGGGGATAAATGAGGACCTAATGCCGGGGGCTTAGGTGGAGAGGAAATGTTTTGAGAATGATGAAGGCAATGAATGTACAAATGCGCTTTACACAATTGATGTATGTATGGATTGTGATGAGTTGTATGAACCCCTAATAAAATGATTAAAAAAAAAAAAAGGAGTGGAGAACAGGTCTGCCAAGAACTTTCCCGGTTTGGGTGCAAAAAAAACTTGTCTTATTTTAGGATAGGAATCGTGGTGTCATAGTGGGCTACGAATTCTGCTCCTTTGGAGGGTTAGCAGTTTGAAACCACTGGCTGATCCTCGGTGTGGGGGTCGGGTGGGGCAGGGGAGGAGAGAGCTTTCCCACTCCTGTAAAGAGTTCCGGTCTCAGAAACCCACAGGGGAAGTTCAAGCCTGTCCCATAGGGTCAGTCACTTTGAGTCAGAATTGACTCGGTAGCACCGAGTTTGGATGTTGGAGTTCTCTGGCTCAGTGGTTTAAGCCCTTGAGTCAGCTCCCATCCAGCTGCCCCGTGGGAGGAAGAGTTGGGAGAACTGTCCCTGGAAGGGGCTGCCCCGCAGACCGACTCTGTTGTGTGAGCGGGCAGTGACGTGACACTGTGCGACCACTCTCAGTAGCATTCTCTGAGGGAGAATTGGTCACATTAGAGCTTTTGATCCTGGAAGCATTGCAAAAAAGGAACTTTTTGGCGGGATTTGCTGTTTGTTCCAGTTATGGGAATGAAGATAAGCTGTCTGTCTCTAAAGTGGTCATGTGCACATGTCTTACACACACACACACACACACACACACCCCTCCAAAACAAACAAAATGGGTCTTCACTGTACATACTGTGATCTGGGGAAAGAGAAAGCCCCCGTCATAGTTACTAGTCAGTCCGACCTTAGGCTATTGACACTCAAGCCCGATGAGTTGAGATGAGATACTGCGCTGGCTGCCGGCTGCCACTCACAGCCTTGCTTCTCCCCAAAGTGATTCTCCTGAGAAATGTGCCAACTCTTCCATGGGCTTCCCCTGCTGTAGCACAGGGACTGTACAGCTGCCGGCGTGGTGATGGGTTTTGCTGCTGCTGTTGACGGCTGCGCCAACTTACCCTTAGGATTTTGACTCATTTCCTCACAGCTCCTTCCAGTTGATTAAAGAGGGACACGAGGAAATGAGCCGAGGTGTCCTGAGCGGAATTCTCAGAGCGGGGCTGTCGTGTGGGGACCCGGTGGCCAAGACTGCAGCTGCCTTTTCCTCACGTAAGAACTGATGGCCTGGGAAGCGGAAAGAACTTCATTTTGCAGCTGTCCTGTGAGGGCCGGAGACAGTGGGAGGGATGCACATCAGCAGGATTCCTCAAGTAGCTGTAATAACTTGAGTAACTGTCTCCATGGCCACAAATTTAGTGTGAAAGGGCTTTCAAAGCATCCTGAACAGCAGATACCCCTTGGATTTGTCCTAGCATCAAAGCTTAGCCACCAGTAGCCCC